TTTTCATTTAATATTAATTTGTTAAAACATTCGGTTTTAGAATGACATATTTGCATTTTAAAATTAAAGACTACTTTATGCTTAATTTTTGTGTATGAAACTTGACGTTGAATACAATTTGTTTTAATGTATGTTCAAGGGTTACATGCATTTTTCAAAAATTTCATTGCTGCTTGAAGTTGAATGACATGCATAACATAAAATAGTTCCAAATAGTCATTATTTTTACATGGGATACTCTACTGTGCGTGTAGAGTATCAACACTCAGCATATGAAGACACATTTTATGGCATGACGAATGCAAAATAATTAGTAATGCAGCATTTTTAAATCTAGGGTGCACTTCAAAATATGTACGCGTGCAAATTAAGTTATAACTACATAGTCAATAAATCTCATGTTTTTAGTCAATAAATGGTGAGATGTGTGAATGTATTGTTTAGTGTTACAAAAAATATTGTATGCACGCGTATTTAATGATAAAAACAATTATGAGAAAGCACCAAAGTGTGGAGAAACAAATTAAATGTAATACAAATAGTCGTGGCTAATGTACAAATATGCATATAAATTATGTGTAGAATGCAGTAAAGATCTGACTTTCAAAACATGTTCGTGTCCAAATCTACATTTTAAATAATTAGTAATGCACGGGTTGTAAATCTAAGGTGCACTTCAAAATATGTAAGTGTGCCCAATTAAATTGTAAGTACATAGTCAATGAATCTCATGATTTTTTTAGTCAATAAATGGTGAGATGTGTGAATATGTAAGTTTACAGTTACGCAAAAAAGTGTATGTGTATTTACTAATAAAACAATTATGAGAAATCACAAAAGTATGAAGAAGCAAATTAAACGTAATACAATTAGTCATGGATAATGTACAACTACAAGGTGCACATCAATGTATTCAATTATGCATATCATTTATGTGTACAATGCAGTAAAGATCCGACCTTCAAAACATGCATGTGTGCAAATCTACATTTTAAATAATTAGTAATGCACCGGTTGTAAATCTAAGGCGTACTTCAAAATATGTAAGTGTGAAATTAAGTTATAATTACACAGTCAATAAATCTCATGAATCTTTTTAGTCAATAAATGGTGAGACGTGTGCATATGTACGTGTAGTGTTACACAAAAAATTGTATGTGTATTTACTGATAATAACAAATATATATGAGAAAACACCAAAGTATGAAGAACCAAATTATACGTAGTATATAATACAGTTAGTTGTGTCTAATCACTAACGAGTATTGATGTCAATATATTTTTATCTAGAAGTTCCCACTTTGAAATAAAATTGCAGGAAATAGCAGTGTGAAAATAAAGGCATACGTGTATTGGCTATAGCAGAATATGAAAGGTAAACGAAAAGCTTCATATTAATTGCGGGCCACGAACTACGTAGTATTAAATTAAATATTCATATGGGAAGAGTTGTATCGAGAACATTCCCTAGAAATCTTTCCCTAAGGAATGTTTTGGCGGAAACTTGTTCCCCAAAAAACCTCTTGTTATTATATTAAGATTAAGATAGATGTACAACTACATGGTGCACATCAATGTATTCAAATATGCATATTAATTATGTTTAAAATGCAGTAAAGAACTGAAAGAAATGCATACATATAAAACATAAAACAATATTCATGAACAAAATTTGTTAACAACGTACATCCACCGCGGTAAAAACAAAGAAGATACAGTGATGCCAAAAAAAAATCCTATTTATTCAAGGGACAATTCCGGCTATCGTGATGGTCTCATTGCACGAACGACAAAGTCTCTTGGGACGTTTAGATTCTTGAATAGAAACATCTTTGGAAGACTTGATCCTACGTCACGAACCTTATTCCTGGCTTTCTAAAATCCACTTCAGCTGCATATTCTGTAAAATTTAACGTCAGCACTTAGATCGGGAAAGACCATGTCAATGACTGGTTTATTATCGGGTTGACATTCAGGAATCCAATACTTTGTAGCACCGGGATAAATTTTTATATTGCAATTCACAGTCATATAAACAAAAAATGATACACGAAATAAATTATAAAATTGGACATTAAAAATGAAAATCGGTTAACAGTAAGCTTCTTTGCATTCAAATTGCACCATGAATAAAATATGTCTACATGAAACATATGAAGTTCGCCCTGCATAAAAATATGAACTAAAATTAAGCGAAGTAAACGAAAGCTAGGGATGTAAAACGTACTCCAATGAATCCTCATGTATGCAAAACGAAGAACATAAACAAAAAACAAGAATTATGCAGGTAAAGAAGTTGATAGTAGCAACTGTTAATCGTAGGCTCCAATCAAATCAAATTTTAAAAAAGTGCAGCACAATCATACACAAAAATCTGCAACTCTTAGGCAAATTGTTTTTGTATTCAAACGGAGTTAAAACAAATATGTTGTTGTTTTTGTATTAAAAAGATGTTTTAGGGAGATTTGTTGTGTTCAAACAAGATGCATAGGCATACCTGATTTCGATTTCATGACTTTAATTTGATGAAAACGTGATTAACCTAGCCTTTGAACGTCACACGAATGGAGAGAAGCAAAACGGAAACTGATGGATAGGTCTCGCACGACAAGGTCTTGATCGCAAGTATGGAAACATAGATATTAACGGAAAGAGCGTTGGCAAAATGTACGCGATTCTCTTTCCACGGTTAGAGGTGAATGAAATGCCCAATACACCCTCAAGTTGCCTACGGTCTTGTGCTTAAAATTAAAACAGCCGTACGGAAATCATGCTTAGATGGATGGCTAGGATTATTTTGTATTTTGTAAATTAAGTTGGGTTTGTATATGATCCCAACTCTCTATATATATATATATATATATATTTACCCCGGAAGGCAAACCACCAAAATCAGTGGGGCGGATGCCGGGGGTCATCAGCCAGAATTTTATTAAAGATAATTAGAGAGTACAAAAGAGACCAAACCTCGCCAAGCAAACAAACTAATCGAAGCTAATCAACAAAAAACTCAGCTATTAATATAAGGAGTATCTAACTCATCCAGAATAATGGAACCACCAAGCTCTTTGGGTATAGTATCTCCGACCCGCCAAGTAAAATGCTTATACACACACACACACACACACACACACACACACACACACACACACACACACACACACACACACACACACACACACACACACACACACACACACACACAAATGTTCCTGTCAGGTATACCTGACAGGAACCGCCGTCCGGCCTCCTCTTTTTGGGGGCCTTCCCGGTGGTATTTTTTTCTCAAATTTTTTGTGTATGTTCCTCATCAAGTCTAGTTCATCCATACCAAATTTCATCAAAAAATTCAATCGGGAAAGTCGTCAAATGATTTTTGCAAGTTAACTGGTCCGGAAAATACATTAATGTTCAGGTATACCTGACCGGAAGATTACTCTATATATGTGTGTGTATATATATATATATATATATATATATATATATATATATATATATATATATATATATATATATATGTTTTGGTTCAAATAAGAACACGATCTTATGAGAAAAATGAGAAGGAATCTGGACCGTTAGATTTGCTTCAAGTGAAATTCAGTGTGCATTAGATGAAACTGTAATGTACATTAGGTGAAATTGAAATGTGCATCACAATGGGTATGATAGAGTGACATTATGTGCAGTTGAATTGTGCATTACGTGAAATTGAAATGTGCACTAGGTGAAGCTGAAATGTGCAGAATAAAAAGTACGATGTGATGTTATTTTTATACTTTTTTTTTTGCACATATCAGTTTCATCTAATGCACACTTGAGTTTAAATTTTTATTTTGCACATTTCAATATCATTTAATGCACATTTCAGTTTCACCAAATGCACAATTTGGTTCCACATAATACAATCCAACGGTCCAGATTCGTTCTCATTTTTCTCCTAAGATCTGTTCTTACCGGAACCGTTCCCTATATATATATATATATATATACATATATATATACATATATATATATATATATATACATATACATACATATATATATATATATACATATATACATATATATATATACATATATATATATATATATATACATATATATATATATATATATATACATATATATATATATATACATATAGATATATATATGTATATATATATATATATATATATATATATATATATATATATATATATGTATATATATATACATATATATATATATATACATATATATATATATATGTATATATGTATATATATATATATATGTATATATATATATATATATATATATATATATATAGGAAAAACTTCCGGTAAGGTACCGGAGCCGCCGTGCGGCCTCCACGTTTTGAGTGCCTTTCCGGTGGAATTTTTCGATGAAATTTTTTAAGCATGTTCTTCATCTAGTCTAGTACATCCATACCAAATTTCAGCAAAAATTCAATCGGGGGGCAGTCAAACGATTTTTGGAAGAAAACTGCGTTTTATATGTATATAAAGGGTGCAGTTATCTTCCAAAAATCATTTGACTGCCTTCCCGATTGAATATGTTATGTGATATTACAAATGCTAATCAACTATCTTATTTTTTGTAAGAAGTGAATTTTTTCTAGTGATAAAAAAGATGTTAGAAGTTTTAATTTATAATATTTTATTATTTATTTTTCTATCTTTCATTTCATTTTACATTTTATTTAAATAATCAATAAATTAAAAAAAGATGAGATGGACTACTACTTTCATTTTCTAATTCTAAAATATAGAACTTCAAACTGAACCGAAACCAAACCGAAACACAAATGGTTTTAGTTTGGCACAAATTTCGTATGTAAATGGAAGAAAACTAACTGTAAACCGAATTGCTGGAAGTAGTTCTGAGTTTGGATAATGATTGCGGCTCGTTATGGAGGATTACTTTCACATCCTCAGTTCGGATTGTGCAATTCTAGGATTTTCTGCTCATCGGAACCAGGCGTTACGTTAAGGCGACGAGTATTGAAAGAAGTGGACAATGAGCTGAGCAGAGGAGATGAAAGAGCTGCACTGTCGCTCGTCAAAGAATTGCAAGGAAAACCTGGCGGCCTTAGGTGTTTCGGCGCCGCACGGCAGGTTCGTTTGTCGGAGAAAGCGCCCAAAACATTACTTGTATCTGCATCATACAATTTTAAAAGTTTTTTAACTGATTCTAATGGCCTTGTTTTTTTCAGTTGCGAATTCAAACTCTTGAGTGAACCTATGTTTTATTTTAATTGTGGTTGGATAGATGGAGTCCAATTGAATTTCTATATGCTCATATGTGACAAAGTACTTCTCTGCAGATACCCCAACGACTGTATTCCTTGGACGAATTGAAATTGAATGGAATAGAAACCGTGTCTCTTTTATCACCAGTTGACTCCACACTGGGCTCTATTGAAAGAATCTTGCAGTTAGCGGCTATATCTGGCTGGATTGCGGCTTGGAATATACTCCATTTAAATCCTCAACAGATTCTCTTCATCTCTTTGGGACTGATGTTTTTATGGACATTTGATTCGGTAAGATATTGAGCTATGCAAAGACTTCTGGGGATAATGTGTTATGCTTGCTGCATTTCGAAAAAGAAATACTCTGTATCATTTTGTTGATGCCACTTAAAATTTGCTCAAGTTGGTATGAAGCTCATTGGGTATGATTTAGTCTTGTCATTGATTTTCACTGTTTCTGCTGCACGTTTTAAAGAAAAAACATTAAATATTCGGACTTGATATGAATTGCTAATACAAAAAATATATCCCCAAAGTTAGTATCGCAGTCAAGAAGAAAACTTTATTGTAGTCCAAATTGTATTTATTTGTTGATTACTTTGATGGTTTCTTTGGAACATGCATCTCTTGATGTAGTTCCAAGCATGTCTTTCCAGGCTTTGCCATACTCTAGTCTTTGTCATGTCTTCTGCATAGGTCTCCTTTAATGGAGGGCTCAGTGCATTGGTTCTGGACACTATTGGTCACACCCTCAGCCAAAAGTACCATAACAGGGTTACTAAGGTTAGACTCTCTTATACAGTAAAAAAAAAGGTTAGACTCTCTTATAAACATGTCAAAAGAAAATAAGATATGATGCAATTTGTTTACGGAGAATCTTTTTCATTCTTTTTTGATTCAGATGTATGAACAGAAGAGTAGAATCATTTTTGTACTCACACTCTGCACTTAATAGTTTTCTTGACACAACAATACTTTTTTGGCCTAAATAAATGCAATTCAAGGGAAAGGACCATAACCTTTTTTAAGAACTATCTTCTCAAGAAACTTCATGTAGTTTTATAAAATAATTCATAAAATATTATTCACTTTTCTACGTTATCATTAGTTTCTCATCAATACCAGACCATTTTTTCCATCTATGATCCTATTTAAAAGCATAATACATCTCATAACACAGAATAATACTGTGTATATTACTTGCTCTTATTTCCTAAAAAGATTCTCTTTTTTAGAATGGCTTTAAAGTCACTAGTCAATCTTATGATACAGCATGAAGCAGGGCATTTCTTGATCGCCTATTTGCTAGGAGTCCTTCCTAAGGGTTATACACTGACAAGTTTGGAAGCTTTCAAGAAGGAAGGATCACTGAATGTTCAAGCTGGGACCGCATTTGTGGACTTTGAGTTCATCGAGGAGGTTGGTTGGCTTGCATGTTTTTCCACATTTTTCTAGGAAATTCTAGGTGTTTAAATGCAGTTAGCTTGAAGAATCCTTCCACCTTTGCATCCAAGAACGATCATTAATTTTTTTAGGTTAAATCTTGATATCCCTGGGGTGTATCTTGAAAGCTCATTAGGAATTTTCAATTCTGTTTGTCCACGTCAGGTTATGTTGTATGCTGGCCTTGTGTCAGTATTTGTTTGTAACGTTGTGCATCCATTATCAGAAAATATGAACCAAAGTACCAAACCCACATACTCAAAATTAGGGGCATGCACAAACCAGAAAACCAGACCAGACAGAAAAACTGAAACCGAGCTATCTGGTCCTGTTTTCGGCTATTAAAATTTTAAAACCAGTTTCAGATCCTGGTTCCAGTTAAAACCCGAATTATTTCGGTTTGAAGTCTTTGAACCAAAAAGCGGTTTTGTAATATTTTTAAATATATGAATTAATGTGGGGTATACTGTAGTATACTAGTATTTAATAATAGCAGTAGTATACTATTACTGCTATAATATTATAGTTCATCCCTTTGTTTTTATTGGCTTGAAAATTGAAATAGCAAACATATATTATCACAATATGATGTATTCAAATTGTTCCAGTTTTTGCTATCTAATACTAATGATAAAAAATGATAATAATGATGATAATAATAAATTTTAACCATCCTTCCTGTCTTGTCCGGTTATAAAGCGGTTAAGCCGGTTCAGTTCTTGTTGGAAAACGGAATAATTCCTGTCTGGTTTGGCTACTATTATTTTACAAATCTGGTTCCGCTTTGGTTCGTTCCAGTCCGGTTTTGAACCGGTGCACACCCCTACCCAAAATGTCCCACTCCAAAGTAAGGTCTGTGGAGGGAAATGTACACATACTTTACCTCTGCCCCTAGAGTTGAGAAGTGGTTTCATTGAAAACCCCTAGCTATAGGAAAATATTGAAGTTTAAAAAGGATGTAAGAATTTTGAAAATTCTTGAAAATTTGATGATTTCTTGTTTTTTAGTGGTAAGGGAAAGAAAACATTCATATGTGAAAGGGTAGTCTGAACAACACTTTTTCTTTCATAATTTTATTCTAATAAACACGTATGTCTTCCTTTGCAGGTCAACAAAGGACAAGTGTCAGCTACAGTAAAGCTCTTGCTTTTGATATCTATGCATCAATCATGACCATGTATTTTATCTGATCAGAAAGATATTGAATGTGCATTTTTTGGCAGATGCTGAACAGGTTTTCTTGCATTGCTCTAGCAGGTGTAGCAACAGAGTATCTTCTTTTCGGATGTGCTGAGGGGGGACTTGCAGATATTAACCAGGTTTAAACCGTTCCTTGTACGTAGTATTTCCTTAACAAGGGCCAAGTGTCCAGTGTGAAGCAGTATTTGCTTGATTCGTTTGCTAGGAAAATTTTGGTCATTTTATGTAGGGCTGTGAATGGCTAATAAAAAAAAATCCTCCCGTGACATTACAGTTAGACATGCTACTTCGAAGCCTGGGGTTTACACAGAAAAAAACTGATTCTCAGGTGAGATGGGCTGTACTGAATACCATAATCATTTTGCGCCGTCATGACAATGCTCTAGCAAAGCTTGCAGAGGTAATGTCAGAAGGAAGATCAGTAGGCTCTTGCATTGACACAATAGAAGAAAACATAAGTGATGATGGCTGGTAACTCTTCTTAAGGGAAACATGCTAATAATATGTCGACTATACATGTTCTTTGAATTGCTTGCTTGTATTCTCACATCATCTTTCAGATCAATTCTGCAGCTTCTTGTCTGTATATAATTCATGTATAAGAGTATGTTTCATGCATGTACGGGTTAGGTGTAATGTTGATGACAAGCACCGGTTTCCAAAGTGAAGGTCACGGTTCGAATCTCATCCCGATAGAAAATTGACATTACTATAAATGCTATATATAGGTTAGACCGTTGGAGCATATCACAAGAAAAGTATCAGGTAATTATACACTCGAGACATTGTCAAGTTACATCAACAGCCTCAAGCATGGGTGAAAAATGAACAAATGAACCCCATGCGATTAAATATAGTACATTCACCAAATAAACTAAAACATCCATATATTTTCAGCACAAATTGAAGTATGTTACTTAATTTTCATGTATGAACCTCCAGAAAAGAATATGAAAAAATTCATAAATACGAGTTAATAATACTCCCTCCGTTCTTTAATAAAAGTCCTTCTTTCCTTTTTGGGACGTTTTTTTTTTATTTGTCCTCCTTTCCATTTAAGGAAAGTTTTTACTTTAAATATACCTTTATACCCCCACTTTTATTACCATTATCCCTTTCTCTTTCCTACTTTTTCATTTACCCACTACTCATTACACTTGTTACACTACCCCTACTATTTTCCTCTTAAAACCCGTGTCAAAGCCTAAGAGGACAGATAATAAAGAACGGAGGGAGTAATGTTTTGCATGATGCTGTAATAAAAATAAAACTAACTATCTACCTAACTTATTCGAGATGAGTTAATGCTTTGCCTTACAGGCTTCTGAGGCTCACATTACTTACTTTCAAGGAAAGTGCAATTTAATGACGTGCATCGGTGCATATGTCAATTTATTGTGATGATGTGTCTTTATGATTTCAATGCTTTACCTTAATTTGGCTGATATTTGAAAATATTGTGGCGGTGAAATTTGAATTCCATGTAAACAGAATTTGAGGGAATTAAATACGACTCAAAGTTTGTTCTTTTGTTAGAACAAAAACTTTGAAATTTTAAATACTTATGTGGTTGTTAAGTATTTCGTACTTAAGGTACTAGAACCTCTAGGGTTTAGAAAAACCTCCTAGGGTTAGCCGCCGCTGGGGTCATTTCCGTTTTCGATTATTGATTGAAGAACGGTGCCAGGTTTTCATCGCGTTTTGCAGCACTCGTTTTTGTCGAGGTCCTTGTATACTCGGTGGCTGTTTTTTTTATTTTTCGTTCTCGGCCGATACAGACGTAGGAAAAGGGAGAATCGGAAGGGGCTCTTTCGACGGAGGATATCGTCCATTATTACAAGAAGATGGCTATTGGCGAAGATGACAATGAACTCAACTTTGATGAGGAAGCTGGGGAGATTGAAGAAACCAAAGATAGAATGGAGTTTCCGGTGGTCGGAGTTGTACTTATGGACCGAAAAATCAGTTTTCAGGCATTTAAAGAGCTTTTGGCTTCAATCTGGCGTCCGGAGAAAGGGATCTCCATCAAAGAAATTGGAGATCAAAGGTACATGTTTACTTTCTATCATATTGTGGACATGAACCGTGTATTTGAGGATGGTCCTTGGTTGTTTGAGAGAGATCTGCTTCGCTTAAAAGCAGTTCAACCAGATGATATCCCTGAAAAGATGATTTTGTGTGAGACTGACTTCTGCGTACAGGTCCACAATGCACCTTTTAAATTTAGAAACTTGGGTTCTGCTAGGAGAATTGAAAATTATATTGGCACTTTTATTAGCTTTGATAAGAACTAGTTTGAGGAAAAATGGAAAGCTTACATGAGAATTAAGGTGTGCATGGATATGAGAAAACCTCTGAAGAAGGGAACTAGTTTAAAAAAAGAGGGAATTGGACATTGGGTAGATTTTAAATATGAGAAACTACCTAATTTATGTTTCTTGTGTGGGGTGATTGGCCATTCTGATAAATTCTGCCCCTTGAAATATGAGGATGGTATTGTGTTGGAGAAAACTTTTGGGGTTGAACTTCGGGCTGGTGGAGGGGGGAAGACCGGGCTTACAGGGGCCAATAAATGGCTAGTGGAGAATACTTCGGGCTCGGGGGTGCTAGGTTTCAGCAGAAGATAGATCTTGAGAGTGAAGGCATAGGGGCACAAAACAGACGTGAGTTCTCAGCAGAGACATGTAACAATGCGTCAAAGAAGGACGAGATGGACAACACGAAGGATGTTCTGGGGGAGGCAAAACGCAGGATGATTTGGGGAGGCCAAGCAAGAGAGGGTGCAGCTGGTGAGGGCATGTCACTAGATGACTCAAAAAATGGAGAGGCGGCGGGTTAGGACTGCTAGACCCTCCTGACCCGCTGGTGGTGCACTTGGTGTTTCTACTCAAGAGAACTAACATTGGCGTTTATTTTTTGTGTTTTTACATTTTAATTTCCACGTTAAGACGATTGTGTTTTGTTTTACTTTCCTTTTTTGCTGTAAGGCCGATGCACTTGGATTGGAAGACGAGAGGTTTGCGTTAATCGTCGTTGCTTTGATTATGCCTAAGTTAGGATCATCGAGTTATATTGCTTTGTCAAAGGTGATTAACTCTGAGTCTGATCCAAGGGCGGATGGTTACATGAGGTCCTTTTGTTATTTCAAACCCAATCTGATTGCCGTTTTATTAAGGGAAAACTGTCAAATAAGTCCTCGAACTTTCATAAAAAGGTCAATTAAGTCCTTCTATAGGAGGTTCTGTCCGGCTGTCGCGATTTGGGGCTGTTACCGGTGGAATTTTTTGATGAAATTTTTTGAGAATCTTATTCACCAAGTCTAGTTTACTCATATCAAATTTCAGCTAAAAATTCAATCGGGAACACATTCAAATCAATTCTTGAAGATAACTGCGCATTTTTGCGTTCTCGAATTAATTTGAATGCGCTCCCGATTAAATTTTTAGCTGAAATTTGGTATGAGTAAACTAGACCTGATGAATAATATGCTCAAAAAATTTCATCAAAAAATTCCACCGGGAACCGCCCCAAATCGCGACGACCGGATAGAGTCTCTTATAGAAGGACTTAATTGACTTTTTTTATGAAAGTTCGAGGACCTATGTGACAGTTTTCCCTTTTATTAATGTAAGCCCCCTTCGATAAAAAAAGTATTTCGTACTTTTGATTTATTAGTCTCATCAGTCATTTTTTATATAAAATATGTACCTTTTAATCTTGCGTGCTAAATTCTTTAATCAAAATAAGTAAGGTTGGAGTTAATTTTCTAGTTAAATTGATTGAAGTTAGTATAGATGATCATTTCAATTATTTTCATTACTCTATTTATAAAATATATTTTAAATATAATCTTTCTATAGTTCAACAATTTAATGAATTCAATTAAAATTTCAATTTTAAAATTTCAATTCATCAATTTTAGTCAATTTCATTGTGTGAGTTAGCTTGTTGTTGGCAATGTTGGGTATCTATGGTGTTTGACGAGAGTGACGATTCTCCCATGAGCTATACTAGGAACTTGATGACTTGATGTCATGCCCAACCAATCAATTAAGAGCGATTTTTCATGCGCAAGCTATGGTGGTGTATGAATCTGGTGGGAACCCTGTGGATACTTCGAGTGATCCACAAGGATTTTTCACAATTAGTCCGGCGAAGTCAGGATAATAATAAAACAATGAGATAGTACCCGAAATAGGACTAAAAGAGTTAGAAAATTCCAAAATAGAACTACCATGTTTTTATTCCCAAAATAGGACTAATTACTGTCATGTTTTAGCAGTACCAGACTTCAAACATGGCAGTATTTTCCAAACTTGGCAGTAATTACTCTTATTTTGGGAATAAAAACATGACAGTCCTATTTTGGAATTTCCAAACTTTTTAGTCTTATTTCGGGAACTTTCCCTAAAACAATTATTTGTAATCATCGATGATCTAACGTTTTTTTGATCATCAACACCGACGACTTAGATTACTAACCAATAATAGTTCAGAGTATGGGTCAACAGACAAAAAGAAAACTGATAACCGTTATACCTCGAACCAGACTTGGAATTAATCGCCGTAGCAATATAATTCGCTGATCCATAACCGGGAAACAAAAGCCTAAATACGGTTACCAACTTCCTCTCATTTCCCACATCCAAAATCAACGTCTTACAACAGGAACGATAAATAAAAAGCAAATAGCAAGACAGACATAACAATCACTAAAAGAACAAACAAAACCAATAAAATAAATCTTCTTCAAAACCCTAGATTTGCTTGCACTCCATGGCGGCAGCTCAGGAGGGGGTCGCGCCCGTCGCTCACTTGCCACAACCTCACCATCAGACATGTCCCCGAAGTTTTCCATGCAAATTCGTTGCTTGAACCTTCTACCAGCCCCTTGCTGCATCTCAAGGCTCCTTCGATCCAGCCGCCTCGAAACAGCCGCCGTTCGTCTCATCACCGTATTCAACGGGCTAGACCTTCTTTGTGATCGAAACCCGCGATCGAAGAAATGAGGAACCCGGACAACGTCTTCGACAATAGACAACATCTTCCAAACAATCCAAAGAGACATCTAACAAATAAAGACTCGGAGATACGGCGGAGAGTCGTCTCCGGACAAACCCTAGGCCGCCTAGACGGCATCTCTAGAGAGAGGGAACATCTTGATAGTTGATACAGCTACATCTTGATCTAACGTTAAACAAGCTAAAAGAGTGTGATAGTTTAACATTATGGTATATTTAAATGAGGTGTTTTACATTGGAACAAAATAAAAATTGAAAAATTCTTCTCTACTTTGAGGCTTTGAGCTTTAAATATTTGTTTGTGGTTAAACTTTATAGTACTTCAAAACTAAATACTACAAGTAATTGTAGAGATGATTTTAACTGTTCTCAGTTTTAATTGTAGAGATGGTTTGATTCTGGAAAAAATTGTTCCCAATTTTTCTATACACAAACTAAACTTGTAGTCTGGACGTATAACAACACTACCAAGCTTACTGACAATAACAACAATAATAACAACACTACCCCGCGGCTCCCACCTACAATGGCATATAGGCAAGTTGGATGTACACAGTTTTACTCATGTACAAGCACATAGTGACTGCTTTCGAATAACTCATGAAAATCGCATCAAAAATTGCATTGACCGACTCTTACAGGTCTTGCTTCATAAAAAAGAATATACGGAGTAGATAGTTAATTGAGTGATTTTATTTTATTCCAATCATATTCATGGGTAAAAATAGTGAAACTTTTTCAAAAAAACGTTGTGCAAAATTGGATACAAAATATTCACTAGATACAAATTAAAAATTATCTCAACAAATACCCTACTTCTTTATGAACTGCCCTACCACAATTCAAGTCCTTGATGTATTTATTCTAGAATTGGTTATGTCCTAAACTCTTACACTTGGCTAGTAAGTGGCCGCAGAACTCTATAGGTTCATATCTCATCATCTCATGTAACGAATGTTTGTGCAACTTCTTTATATGGCCGGGGTTGTAGAAGGGACTAATTGAGATTTTAAATTAAACCAAAAACTATATGTGATGGTACGTAGTGTAATATTTGTGTGATTTTTTATCTTAAGAATATGAGAGTAATATTTCAAGTATCTCAAATTTTGAATAAGGGACTAATTTAGATTTCATTAAAACCAAAATTATATGTGATTGTATAATATTTTTTATAATTTTTATCAATAGGAAAGCAATAATTTAAATATCTCAAACTTTGAATAAGTGTAAGTTAAGTCTCAATTTGCATGTGTAAATTAAATACTACGTATCATTTAGGCATTCATGAATTAAACATAGCAAGTGTAGTTGGCTAGCAATGTTTAATATTAACAATGTTTAAATATCATTTAGGCATTCATGAATTAAACACAGCCACAATATACACAGTTACACACTAACACACTTCTTCCTCTCTAGAGGTCAAAAATTGGAAATTTATGCTCAATTGCATTTATAACAATTTTGTTACTAATTGCACTATATACACATAGACATTCAGAAATTGTAAGTTTGGTCTAGTCTGATCTGGGACTAAAAACAGTCCAAAAGAAAATCCTAAATACAAGAACATAGACATCCCCAGGAAAGAACTTAGATCAAACTAGACTAGATAAAAGTCATAAAACTAGTTTACCCAAAAAAGAATTTCAAACAATCCTCATTTAATGTTTTTTATGATGGTAAACCGATTTATCAGCCTGACTTTCACACTTTCATAGTTTCACATGCATTTTTGCATTCCCGAAAAATTGCAATTTATGAATCTATGACATCAATGAGATTATTATCACAGGTCGAGTGCTGGACTCGGGCCGGGCGGCCCGGCCCGGAACCGGCCCGGCCCGGTTACTATTTGGCCCGGCCCGGCCCGGGGCCCGGTGGGTCCCTCGGTTCGGTTCGGCCCGGCCCGGCTGCTGGGCGGTTCGGGCCCGGGCCCAGGTTTTGGTGAACCGGCCCGGCCGGTTCGGGCCCGGTCCGGGCCGGATTTTAATTTTTTTTTTTTTTTTGAAATTTTTTTAAGTTTTAGGTTGGATTAGGTATTTTGGGCCATTTGAGGTGGTTTGGGATGGTTTGGGGTTGAGGGGGAGGGGATTAAATAGGAGAACAAAAAAAAAATTATTGGGCCGGTTCGGCCCGGCCCGGCCCGGTTTGGCCCGGAACCGGGACCGGAACCGGCCACCGGCGGTTCGGGCTCGGGCCTCCCTTTCCTGGCCCGAGGCCCGGCCGGGCCCAGGCCCGAACCGGGCCCGAACCGGCCCGAGTCCAGGCATAGTCTTAGTTTGATAGCCCTATATTTTACAATAATAAACGACGAGGGGACTGGACATTTTTTGATAGTGTAAGTTGAATTCAAACTGCCAAATCTAATAATTGCCAGAACATCGAATGGTACAACCGACAAAGAAATCAAATGGGATTAGGGTTTCTTAATTGGGGTACAAAATTGCATTAATGCCACTAGTTATGGTACCATTTGTGCTCTTTACTTGCAGCCTACAAGCAATCAAGTAAATACACAAATGGAAAGTTAAGTAAGCACAACCCATGACAATTCTACTCATATAGATTACAGATTCAATAATTTATGGATGTTTCCCATCCATGAATTGCAGTTTAGCAAGTATACTTAGGACCAGTAGGTATATAATATTCGCAAAGGTGCTGATTCTCTCAGATCAGCCCCCCACTCCCAAATTCACACTTCTTCCTCCCCTTTAAAGGCCAGAAATTGGAGCTGTAGCTAAACTGCACTTAAAATAGTTCTGTGACTTATTGCACTTTATATATATACAACACAACCAAGAAGCGAAATCCCCAAATAAAGAAACTTGTACCAGTTAAGCACAACAAGAAGCCTTGACACTAGAATCACCCAACCGGGGCCCTTCTTGGAACCAGAGACATACAGAGGGACAATCTTTAAACTCCAAAATTTTCAACTGCTGGAAGGTTTCAACTGTCTGAACTCACAAAGTCA